AAAAAATAATAATTGACCCTCTAACACTAGCTCTGTCTATTCTATTTCTTTTCTATCTACTTTTTATTTTGTTTATTTATTATAAAATAATAAATAAAAACCTTGCTATGTGTACTGTGTTAGACTAACCGAGACTTGTCATTTGCACTTACATATAGTTGCTCTTTTGTTGGTTTTGATTGCTTCTATTGTCCTCATTTGTAAGTCGCTTTGGATAAAAGCATCTGCTAAATGACTAAATGTAAATCAGGTGTTTTCTGCGCAGACACAGGTCACGTGATCACGGCCGCAGACGCCACCGATCAGCCTCGCACTCTCCGTCCCCTGACTCCAAATACAAGGCCAAGAGCCGGCGGTCTCGCTCCCGGTCCAGATCGGCCAGTCCGCCCGCAGAAGAGCTGCATGCGTCGGCCGACTCGCGTCAGGACGAACCCCGCTCGCGCTCCAGATCCTGGGCCGGACTCAAGTCTGGAGGCCACTAGCGAGCGCTCTGCTCTTAAATCCTGTGCAGCTTTTCATCGAATCTTTGTGTTTAATCATGACTGCGCAGCAGCTTCTGCTTGCTCTCGTTCTTACTGAAATTATGCTTGAAGTTGTCCGAGGCAGTTCATTCTTTTGTAAGAAACGTGCTTTGACGCCAGTATAAAGATGGCTTTATTTTTATAGTCAAAGACAAGCAGAAACCCAGCTGTTTGATTGTAGAAAGATGCATGCAGAAACAGTGAATAATGGGAGAAAACTGGGGAAGACCGTTGATTTAAAGATTTTTTGCTCGGAAAAGTCGCAGTGTTAAGTTTTTCTTCAAAAGTTATAATGTATTAAAAGCTCAATTTGTATTGTCTTGCATCTGTTTATATTAAAGACGTAGTATTTTTGTCATTGCAAAATAAACATGATTTAAACGTTGTATTGCATTTCTACAGCGTGAATTCAAGGTCCTATGGATTTATGAATGAACCGCTAGATTTAAAGTCTGCTTTGAACATTACAGTACACATGATAAATATCGTTGACTCTACACTACAGTAAGAAAATCCACTTCAGCAGCTCAAAGACTTATGTGCATCAGCTTAAGTAATATTTAAAAGTAATTTAAATGACCTTTTTGGTTCAGAACATAAAAATAAACCATTTCTACTGTATTGAGTTATCTGAATCTATTTCAACATTTACTAATACATTTTAAAATCAAAAGTTTGGATGTGTCATAAATGCACTAAACTAAAATTACTAGTTGTATTTTTACAGTATTTGTAACATTAACAAAGGTTAATGCTTTAATGTTACCAAGACCTTGTTGCAAGGTATTACTTTTACTGGTTTTCAATTGGAAAGGAATTTGTTACTAGATATTTTTACCTTAAAGGTAATTTTAGGCTCAAGTCAGCTGGTGGCTTCGTTTGAAATGATTGAATGAAGCCACCAGCTGTTTCTGCAGTTGTTTTCTGCCACTAGTGACAAATTACACCAGATTTAATGAAAATAAGTGACGTTTTCTTTGACATTTGCTTGCACAGTTGACGAAACATCCCCATCATAAACCACCATCATCTGTTTCACTCCATCACATCAGGACTGGGGCTTTATAGACTGCCTACTAGCTTTCAAAGCAGTATTTTAATGTGCAACAAATGTTTCAAACAGCAGTAAACTATATTGAGCATGTTGCATGTTTAATTTCACAAATAGCATTCGATTATCATCTTGGCCATACACGGCTACTTTGCAGAGTTAATCCAGTTTTGCATATAAATATCTGAATGCTTGGTGGTCTAGTCAAATAATGAATCCGTTTCTACTAGTATTTCATTCTTCATACTATAAATGTAAAGTCAATGGCATTGCGTTTCAGCACATAGAATACATTGTGCTTTGTTGTAATGCAAAAGTAGCAGCTCATCCGGATATTCTATACTTCAAAAATGGTCAAGTCTGTACTTGAAACGGCGTGTTTCTGTAGTTACAGTAGCTTTCCTATGCACAGCATGTGGACTGAAGTGAAACTGCTCATTTTTTACTGCGAATTAAATGTACATCTTATGACACACTTACTAAAGTGAAGGGACAGCACGAGGCTGTTTCATGCAAAATATAAACAAAAATTTTTTTTTTTTTATGTTACAAGTATGCCTTTTCAAACATGGCCAAAAATAAAGCAGAAAACTTAATTTTTTTTTGAAAAATGTAAATTTTAAAAATAAAAAAATTTTGTATTAAACTTAGAAGCCTCTTAAAACATAGTGGGACATTCAATACACTGTTACACAAATGTATATAGAAGTAATCATAACACTAACAAAAACCTCATTGTAACTATATTAGTTAACATGAACAATACTTATACAGAATTTACTACATGATAAAAAAAAAATTGCATCTGCAAACATTAATGCACTGTGAACTAACATTAACAAAGGTTAATAAATGCTGTAAAAATATATTGTTCATTGTTAATGCGTTAACTAATGTCAACAAATGAGCCTTTTGTAAAGTGTTACTGAAGTACTCAAGAAGCAGGACAACACTAGTTTGCATCCAAGTTTATTTTTGAAATTCCCTACTCCCTCTATACAAGAAAAAATGACTTTCCACAAAGGCAGCAGTGAACGCTCAGTGATAGTAATATTTATGTTTAGGGCAGGGAAAAAAAAAATCAATCACAGTGTACGCTTACTTTTTCTTTAAATAATTCCTGCGGTCATCTTTGGCTGGGTTTGGCGGACAGTTTACCGTCAGGCCAAAGTCACGGGAAGTTACAGTTCAAGCCAATGGAGCTGCAGGCTTCAACTTTACAAAAGCCAATGCAGGAATGTTGCGTTATACTCGGATAACGGAAATTAAAAAAAAGAAACAAGAAGACTGCCAGGGACGCGACAGCACTTTTTAAATTTCATAAAATTGTATAGACAAAAAATAAATCTACAAAAATGGAACTAGTAATATTACACAACGATTAAACCGGTTTTGTTCAACTACACAAAACCGAAGTTCTTGGTCTTGATGGCTAGTAAAAGTTTCTGTTTGAGAATCTGTTTGGAAGAGTAAAGTGGCACGTAGAGGCGAGAGATGCAGGTGTTGGCGGTGGGCAGGTGCTGGTCATCCGGCGGACGAATGGTGATGGAGGGCATGGGCTGGAAACCTTCTTCACTGGCCGGCAGGGACGGGCTGGATGTCCAGAAGTACACCTGCGGGCGGCACACAGCAATGTATTAACATCTGGCATGGTTTACATGAATTCATATCGAGTAGAGCAAAAGGAAGAAACGTCCTACCAGGTCCTGGCGCTCCGTCATGCTCATCTTCTCAACGATGGACCAGAACCAGCGCTTGAACTTTCTGGAATGTAGGGCGGGATTTCACCCTTTGCCGGGAGTTTGATTGACAGGCGATCAGACCAATCATAACATCGAATCCACGATTAACGTCAGTGGACTATGGTGTCCTGTTGTCTTTTCACGGTTGAGACGACATAACTCAAATGTTCATTCATGTTTATTTCATGCTATAACTAGTAGTAAAGAGGAAGAGATGATCGGTTCACATGAACAAATGGATCGGATTTATTTCATGCCATATAAGCATGTTATTTTCATGGAGTAATACAAATTAAAATAATCAAAATAAAAATACATCAATACAAAAAATATTTACAAAATTATACACAATATTTACACTGTTATATATAAATATAAATAAATAAATTAAATAAATAAATATTTATATATATATATATATATATATATATATATATACACATACATACATACATAAATCAACTTTGTGATGTATAGCCGAGTGAAACCGCTTCTGGAATGTAGGGCGGGATTTCACCCTTTGCCGGGAGTTTGATTGACAGGCGATCAGACCAATCATAACATCGAATCCACGATTAACGTCAGTGGACTATGGTGTCCTGTTGTCTTTTCACGGTTGAGACGACATAACTCAAATGTTCATTCATGTTTATTTCATGCTATAACTAGTAGTAAAGAGGAAGAGATGATCGGTTCACATGCCGCTTGAGGCGATTCAGCGTTATGATTGGTCAAACTCCCAGTGAAGGGTGCTAAAATCCTGGTCACTGGACAGTCAGCATAGTCCAACCCCTTTTTCGAGATGTCATTGAGAGGAGGTTAATGTTTCTGATTAAAGATTACAAGTGCAAATGAATTTTTTTTTAAATAACGATGTGTGACACTGCGTGAAAAAAAATTACAATTGTCATTTTTGATTTCATGGTGACTTTAAGGATGTTTAGATATTTGTACTGGAAAACATAAATAACTATATATATATTTTTTATTTTATTTTTTTTTTTTTTGCATTGCATGCAACATTTAATGTCATGGCTTAATGAATTTAAGACTTTCAGCTCTGATTTAAGAATTTAGCAAAGGGCAAATTAAGAATTTTTAAGACCTGCAGAAAGCCTGTAAGATTTTATGCTCATCTTGGCCCAAAATTTGCATAAAAATAGATGGATGGAAACATTTGAAGTCTTACAAGAAATAATAAACATAAGCTTTGAGTTGTGACTAACTGGAATTTTGAAAAAATTAAACAATGTTTTAATTGTCACAAATGGAATAAAGATTCCAAACTGTAACATATTCAAATCATTCTGAACTCAAGATCTTATGAAAAAGGGCATCTTGAGATCCAATAATATACCTGACTCATCATTGAAAGAGGTGAAACTGATGAGCATCTGGACATTAACTTCTCCACAGCCGTTGACCAGCAGTCTGAAGTCCTCAGCCGTCAGGTCCTCCAGAGCGTTCTTTGGAAGCACATCCAGAAGACCCTTCCGCATGGCCTGCAAAACAACATCTTCACTTACATTTCTGCATTTTTCTCTATTTTTGGCATGCGTTCCATTCTCAGGGAATGCATGCTTAAAAAAATCTTCAGCTTGAATGCAATGGAAGTCGCGTTGGATAAAAGCATCTGCCAGATGCATAAATGTGACCCTGGAACACAAAACCAGTCTTAAGTCACTGGGGCATATTTGTATGGGTCAAAATTATAGATTTTTCTTTTATGCCAAAAATCATTAGGATATTAAGTAAAGGTCATGTTCCATGAAGATAGTATGTAAATTTCCTACTGTACATATATCAAAACATAATTTTTGATTAATAATATGCATTGCTAAGGACTTCATTCGGACAACTTTAAAGGCGATTTTCTCAATATTTAGATTTTTTGCACCCTCAGATTCCAGATTTCCAAATAGTTGTATCTCGACCAAATATTGTCCTATCCTAACAAACCATACATATATGGAAAGCATATTTATTCAGCTTTCAGATGATGTATAAATCTCAATTTCAAAAAAATTGACCCTTATGACTGGTTTTGTGGTCCAGGGTCACAAATGTAAATGTGCATGCTGTAAAATAAGGTCCAGAATAAGCTATAACAGTCCAGATAGTCAAAGTCTAGCTCTCTGAGACGTTAAGAAGTATAAGTGAAGTGCACTCACATGCAGAGGCTGTTCTGCCACCACCAGCATCCGGTGCTCCGCGTATCTCCTCACGTACTCGTACACGTTCAGAGGCGTCACGGGCATGTTGACCCCGCCAGCCAGGAGCTCCACCTGCAGATGCAGCAGGAAACCTTCAGTCATGCGCACAGACGGAGCTCTAATGCCAACGCAAAGGGAGAACGCAGCCGTTACCTGTCCAGATCCTTCCTCCTTGCAGAGGTCGATAGCGAAGGCGAGGTCCATCGCCGCAAACACAGCCTCCGCCTCCTCGGTTTGAGAGTGACGAATCAGCTGTCGCAAGCTCTCGTACATCACCGGGTCGAAGAACGCAAAGTCGTGCCAGTTGACCTGCAGCACAAGAGAACACAAGCCTCAGCATTACTTCCCTACAATTTACGTGATACGGAAAACACAGAA